CCCCCCCAAACTCCTCCCATTTGTCGCAAAATATAAAAAGGCGAATGCCGCTGACAATAACCGAAGTGTTTGTCGAATGCATTGCTCTTTTTATTACCAAATGGCTTCGTTTTCCTCCAGGTAAACCCTTTACGCCTTTGTAGGCATTCATTTCACAGAATAATCCTGCAACAACTTTGAATATACCCAAGATGGTGCCAACTAAGCTCCTAGTAAAACCTATGGAATCTGAACTCTTTGCGCTTATAAAAAGCACTCTTTAGTCGCATTCTTTAAGGCAATAAGACGATTTTCCAACATCGTGACCCAAATGATGACCCAACACTCCATTTGCCATGACTAAATAAGTTTATTGATTCTTATTTTCTTCGACTATCCCGTTTATTTATTTATTTATTTAAGAGTACACCTATAATCATGCCTCATTTATCTTCTCGCGCGATGCTCCTAATCATCTCGATCATCTCTCTTTCATATTCAAATGGCGGTTTATTCAATGCTATTTGACCTTCATAGCTCATTGTAATGCACTTGGTGGAACTTTTGTTTTCTGCTGTTATCTACTAACTACGGACTTAATTTCTACTCTCGGGAAAGGCTTGATTAGCCCTCCCTCCCCCAAAGGGTTTGATGACAATGCATCTGTAACTTTGTTCCCAAGAAAGCTAAAATATTTCACCAACGGAGGAGGACGCTTACCGATGCAAGTTCGGTTATCCCAGTTGAGCCGATACCCTGGAGCACATTCGCAATGATACCCACCTTCATCGTTGATGCACCTGTGATCGGTTCCACACGTATCCACCCCCAGGACGCATTCATTCACATCTACATGAAATATGAAGAGATAGTGAAGGTTAACTAACAAAAGACCAACATTAATTGAAATGAGTACTGAGATGACGTTTGATTATCTCCCAGTAAAATATTATTGCGATGTTGCTAAGAATTGGCTACAAATTAACACAAAAAATAATGTTTTTAAATTAGCAAAAAATGAACAAAGTGAAATAATTGTGAGGTAAGTTAAATTAGACGTTTTTATTCAATTTTAACATTTGAGTAACTTGTGCCCTTGGCCATAGGGTTTTATAGACACCTCAATACACCACGTTCAATCGTTGCATATTATTAATTGGTAACAAATTCTAGACGTCGGAATATCGGTCAAATCCAAAACTTTGGCACAGTTAATTCGCTTTTAACAAAGAGAAGTGAATGAGCCGTTAGTTCCAGAATCCTCACGATGCACCGATATAATAATCTACATCTTCTCAACCTTTCAAACTTCAGGTGATTTCTTGTTGATTGAAACTACAAAATGCCCAAGTGTAGGGTACTTAAATGAAAATCAATATCAATGACAGCAACTTAGAGAGAGAGAGAGAGAGAGGGAGGGAGTGAGCTGGGCCATGGAAGTGGTCGATATTTGTTGAGTCTAAGGAAGAGCACTCTTCTAGGCAGTTAAAAGGCATTGTTTCCTTCTGTTGTGGAGCTTTCACATTTGTCAGCCTCGTACTTCAATTTTTTCCCCTAAACCCCACTAGGTGGAGGGGGGGGGGGGTTGATTTACACTCTTAGAGACGGTAATTGAACAGGTTGAATTGAGAACCTCTGAGGAGTGTTAACAAAGCGCACTTGCTTGAGCTTTCGATAACGCGGATGGAATTTACAAGTTCCTTGTTCAAAATGGTTAACTTGTAAACGATTGCGTCTACTCCACATTCTGAAAGTGTTACACATGAATCCCGTTTAATTCACACAGGCAGATTGTGAAAAGATGTTGATAACAATGACGCCAACTATTTTACGATGTGTGTGTGTCTACGATAGTCTGACCAATTTGGCACAATAAGCGTACAAGGAGAGAGAGGGGGGGGGTGTGGAGGGAGGGAGTTTG